AAAAAAATGTGTAGGTACAGGAGAATCTGCCAAATGTCCAGGTTGCTTGTGCGTTTGCGACGTGGCCCTAAAAGGTAGGCGTGTACATGTATTTATTTGCAGGGTCTTTTATTAGGGCAGCAGGTTGCGTACGACAGGGTCGTAAAACCGCCACCGCACGCCGGCCAACTTTCGAACCTATTAAGGGTGCATTAAATCAAAAGGACCGGATCTGGAGTCGCTCTCAACCTTCGAGCATCCAGCATTAGCTCGATCCCTTGTTTAATTGTTTGAGGGTAACTGGCCGTTAGTGCCACTGCGAAATATCGGCTGCAATTAAAGAATTTAATTGCCTGTCACGGTCCGAAGTGTTTTCCGAGTAAACTGGACCGTCAGCACTGGTTGGGCTCAATGCGGATTGAAAAACCGCACCTGAACTCAATACGGGCAAAATCCCCCCAAAGCATCCACATTACCTGCTGTCCCTCTAAAACAACGCAAGCAAATCTTAGTGGAAACAAATCGGAACAACCACACAACCCCTGGCAGTAATCCGAGTTGAATGGCCGACATGCCAGCCGGAAAAAAACGCAAACCTGGAAAACAGGTGTAGATTTAATTTGTTTGCAGGAGTCGCTGGATCGGGGCTGGAATGGCATTCCGGCCTGTTTCAACCACTCAGAATGCTGATCGATAGGGGTTCACGCGCATTGCCCAAGCTGACATCAGTAAGAGTGCGTGTACACGTGCTTTCCAGCGGCGTCCAGCTCAACATTTCCAAGAAAAATGCCCAAAGTTTACAATTTTCCATTTACAAACGGACATCAATACAGCTAATCTACTAGAGAACGCAACTGCTGATGGAAGAACAAGTTGATGAAGCACATCTGCTAGAAGTGGTACTTTTAATGAAGGCGAAGAACTCATAGAGAAAAGCCTCGGCCTGGCCAGAGTAATATTTCATCAAAGAAGATCTCTCCAATGAAAATATTATTTGTTCAGAAGATGAATTTACACAAAACATTGTGTAACTCGTATTATGATATTTTTATCTTTTCTGGGTCTCAGTCAAAGTGTGAAGTAAAAATTTTGCACGTCGTTTATTTCATTACGTTTCGGCGAGACAACAGCGCCATCATCAGATTTAAAATTTACACAAACTCATGATTGGTAAAAATCAACGTTCTTTTAGGTCTTTGCCTTCTTGAAACCTTAAATTTGTCTCTCGACAGACAAATTTAAGGCAATGATTTTCTTATTTGAAGTTAAAATTTTGAACATTCGTTTATTTCATTACGTTTCGGCGAGACTACATCGCCATCATCAGATTTAAAATTTGCACAAACTCATGATTGGTAAAAACCAACGTTTTTTTAGGTCTTTGCCTTCTTGAAACCTTAAATTTGTCTGTCGAGAGACAAATTTAAGGTTTCAAGAAGGCAAAGACCTAAAAGAACGTTGATTTTTACCAATCATGAGTTTGTG